TTTTGCAATATTGCAAAATCCTGTGTGATCTGTTTTTGCTTGATGTATGTGTTATGAATGACTCTCAGCTACTACCACACCAAATTTTAGCTTTTCGCTCGGTGTCGGTCGAATTCACCAAGTTATTACAATTCTTGTGTAGGCTAAGGTCAGTTAGCTGTGGAGGCCATCTTGAATCAGGTTGACTCCAAAAGTTAATCAGTCCTGGATGCCAACCGAGTGATTACCTTTTTTACTAAAATCTGCTCTGTGATTTATGAGATATGACGACTAATAGCACAATACACACACACACACACACACACAAAGAAACATGGACAAAATAAAACTGCCTATGCCTTCGGCGGCGGGCGATAACAAAGAATTCCTGGAAAAGGTTAAATAATTCACAATAACTAATGAACACGTTGTTATAGCCTCAGCAGCCAGAACACTGATCCGGTTTTTCCTGTGTTTGTTGATAGAATCAGTCTGTCTGCCTATAATTACAGCTGGCTGTGTGTGAGCAGCTGAAACTAGAAAAGAAAGCTCTGACTCCCATTTGTGGTTGCTCCGTGTTAGCCGTGCTTTAACAACAGAATGAGTGTGCACGGTGACAAAGGATGACTTCRGCAGAGTCCCTAAAAGAATTCTCCTCGTGGCACTTTGGCCTTCCTGTCAGGACATTTTGGTTTGTGTGCTATTATTGCAGCTTTAAGTTTCCTCTTTGACCCATCTCCCTGGGGCTGCTGTAGGCTGCCCTCTGCAGGATTTTCAACATCAGTTAGTGCTTGCCTGACTGAGTGCTGTGGGATTTTTTTTTTTTAACGGTGACCACTACAGGCTTCACATCAGCCGTGATTCGAAAAACTGCCCATTCTAATCAGTGTCTGAGTTACRCCAGGCCGAATCAAAAGACTCCAAAGCGTCCAATATTCAGCACTCTAGCTCCCCTGATAGCTGCAATTACAGTCAAATCATTTTTTTCCAGAGGAAACAGTTGAGTAGTAGTAACAGCTGAGGTGTGAGAGCTGTGATATGAAAGAAATCCTGACAACAATCTGTGGGAGTTTATCACTGCGAGGGGGAAGAAGTGAAGCATCCCTGATGTCAGCTGTTGACTCTGGACTTGGGTGTTTAAAGGACAGAAAGTGGGCCTTTGAATTGCTGCCGGACTGTATTTTTAGAACCAGAGGCTGTTCAGTTCAAGGGTGCAGCTGGTTTAAGGCCTAAAGATTCAGACAACAGAAGAAGACAACAAAACAAACCAAAAATAAAGATATAATTGCTTCATGAAATGCTATTATTAAAAGTTGCTCTTTCTTGCAATGAGACAAAAATGTTCAGGGCTCTTGGCCTACCATAAGTTCAGTCTCATTAACACACTTTGTGCTATGATTGTATATAAAGTATTATCCAACATGTAAATATCCGTCCCTGTATTATTTTAATGGAAGACATTAGTTGAATTAACGGGTTGGGCATAAAGTGGAGCTGCTTTAGTCTGAACTCAAAGTGCTCAGCATTAGGAGTTAGCATATTGAGTTAAGTATCGGTATTATCAACAACAAGATGAGTATTGGTATTGGATCTATACTAGCGCAATGCAATCGATTCTTTTGTTTACACTTTATTTGCACTACTCTCATTTTTTTACAAAAACAAAAAGTGACAAATAAAGTCAGTGCAGCGTATTCAAATTGTTTGGAGTTTGAAGTCATAAGTCCTATTTTTTTCTGTGTTACTGACATCGTTCTATTTATATTTCTTACATTGTAACTTATTTCTCAAACATTTCTGCGTAGTAGAAGGCAATAGCTGGGTCATTTTCTTTAAAATACTGTACCATCATTTTGCCGCTGAAAGGTGATAATACATATTTTTTGCCTATGTATGTCTGTTATTAAAAATCTCATGAACCACTGGACGGATTTGAAAGAAATTCTCAGACAGTAATTATCAGTTGCTCGTCTACAACTGGTTAACTTCTGGGGTCGGTTCAAATCAAAATGGCCAACACAGCTAATCTACATTAGCCAACATAAAAATGTTTATAAGTCTGTCAGTTTTACAGCTGATGAACTAAACTTTGAGGTACTAGCTGGAAGTCATCCCCAACACATACTGAGACCACTATGTACTGTGCAACACCAGTGCTTATTTAGTCCTTATCTATTAAA